TAAACAAATAAAAATCTATAAATTGAAGAGCTCTTTGTTACTTTGTATCAATGCGGTTTCACTAAAAAACAAAATACTCAAAGAACTTATTTCAGATTTTCACCGCACATAACCCTCTATCAACTACCGTCTATCCCTAATAAATGTTTTTCTCTTTTAAGAGAGGAATTGTGTCAAAAAATACCATATGGATCATCTACCTATGCATTGATACATGAGAAAGTAATGCTATTACTAAAAAATTAAGTTTATGTTGTTGGTATTGAATTGATAAAGTTAGAGGAAAAATAAGAATTTAAAACAAAACGAACACCACTATATTTTGTATGAAACGATCTTAATAAGACAGGTCTAAATAAGAAAACAGAATAATCGTAGTCGAATGGAAGGAATATTAGATTTGAGCGTGTTTGACATTTAACGGTTAGCGGATAGCGGGTTGTCAATGATGTGTAGTAATTTAGCTGTTTAGTCATATCATACCTTTAGCAGAAATTGTCAGTTAACCCAAAATTTTCATATTTGTACCGTTTCTATTTCAACAGTTCTGTTCAAAAACACATGAGCCGAACAATTGTTTACCAAACAACATTTTCAATGACTGAAAACCCTAAAAGCGGTTAAACTGCCATTTTTTTTTATGAAGCCTCATTTCTCAAACACCCCAAAATCATTAGAGAATACTAACTATTCGTACCTAAAGTGAGTGGCTGAAGGAAAAAGGTTAAGCAGTTATATTAGGTTACGTGTGATGGTGTGTTTCTTAGGGTTGAATCAAAGGTCGCTGCAGTACTATCATGCTTCGTGATTAGAAGCATATTGTTGTTTGCACAAGTTAAAGGAGACTGTCCTGTCACAGTACGTTCAAAGAGGAAAAGTACTAAAAGTTTGTTGGGAATCTAAGAACCTGGTAGGTTGTCTTAACAAAAGAGGAAAGGAACATATACTCCTTCAAATAGTAGACCAAGTATATATCTCCCAAATTAGCTTCTAACGTTCTGTTTTTGCCTTCGTAATTCGTAAAACGATCTTTTTCATTAAAGAAATGTCTTTTAATGATTTTTTTGATTATAGATATGTGTGATGCTTATTGCATTGTTCTTTCCTTTTAAATAAACTCACTGTCTCAACTCTTAATAAGTATGATGATAAAAAAATCTTAATAAGTTTGACAAAGAAGGCGTACTTAATTAATTTCAAATAAAGAGGAATTTTGAAATCTCTTTTTGTAAACGATCTGCGAATCGTGCAGCTCACGCATTAGCTAGAGCTCATGTTGTGATCTCAAATCATAGTAGTAGTTATAATATGATACCGGAGTGCATTGTAAGCCATTTAGCAAATGACTCTAGTTGAATGAAAGGCTTGTGATTCGGTTAAAAAAATTGGAGACGGCTACTAATGTGTAATTAAACTACATCAAAGACGGATTCATTTTTGTGTCTAGACCTAATAATTCATATAAACTTATAACCTGCACCAATTAAATTATGAATATAATACATAAATACAAAACACTGCCTAGAGCTCAAATTTGACTGGAATTAACTTTGTATGCCAAAACTAGACTTGGGGAGAGGCGAAGTGTAAAACCCTAGCCATCTCCCCTCTCTCTTCTCCTCTTCTCAATCGTTTTTCTCCTCCTGAAGATAAAAAACTACTCCGTATTTCCTTATAAGTATTTTCAAGTTATTAAATGTGGTTTCTCTCTAACTATGATCGTTTAGAGTTTGTGTATTCCTAATTGGTGGAATCGACCGGGCATCGAAATTTTATTGTTGGTGGATGACAATCTTTGTCCTGTGTGATTTTTGGGAGTGTAATGAGACAATGATTGTGCTCGATTGGATCTAGTGTTCAATGGTAGATCAAACTGGTGATATTCACAATTTCCACTCAATAACCGGTCAAATTGAGGATTCTAACTGTTTCTTTCTAGTGAAGGGCAAACCAGATTTTCTATTATTTTCTTTTTGATGGATAGTAAACAGATTTATATGTTTGTTTTCAATCGGATAGTAGTTTTAGTACTTTTGTAGTCTTGATGATGAATTATAAGTAGCATGAGCTTCTATATTGATAAAGGAGTCTACATCTTTTGTGGGCTTAGCAAATTAAACTGTTATGTTCCTTTGCAACTTTTTAATTTAATTTTTGTCTCATCCCATCATAATCTTAAGTTATTCGAATTGTTTTTGTAGTGATCTTTTTTACTATTAATAAATAACTGAAGTGTTTTTGTTTCAAAAAACCTCAAATTCGACTTCGACTAAAGAGACTCGTGATATTTAGGCATGACAATAGGTCAGGGCGGGGCGGGTACTGCAAGACCCAAACCCGCCCCCGTGACTTGGTGGGGCGGGTCCGCCCCGCCCCGTGACCTGCACGAGTCCAAACTTGTTGACTCATGACCCGCCCCATGCGGGGCGGGTCCGCCCCGCCCCATGCGGGGCGGGTCCGCCTCGCCCCGCCGTAACCTAATTAGCTAGTATGTATTTTTATTTGTGTGAAGTTGTTACCAATTGAATTTACATAAAGTTGATCTCTAAATAATAATTAAAAATTAATATATTAAATCAAATTCATGATACCCTAAAAATTTCAAAAATTAAGGAAAAATTACTCATACTTGAATAGTTAATCTATTTAATTATACTAATGATTGAATAGATTAATATATGTATTAATATATTATACTTCGTAAGATCAAAGAACTTATGATTTACTGTATACACACATATGTATGTTGAAGTATATTTGTAGTATAATTTAAGAAAAAATGTATGCTTATGTATTTAGCGGGTCGGGGCGGCACATGTCAATACTAATACCCGGACCCGCCCCATTGTATAGGCGGGGCGGACCCGCCCCATTTGGAAGACGGGGCGGGCCGGACCCGCCCCAAATGTCTCGGGCTAGGGCGGGTCACTGCGGGTCGAGTTTTTTTTTACATCCCTAGTGATATTTATCTTTAGACTTCATTTTTTAAGAAAATGCGATGTCTTCAAAACGAAACAAAATAGGTAAATCACGGTTCATTATGGGAAATTGCACTAATAACACTCGTAAGTCGTAAGATAGACTCAACCTAAAAACACGTTTGTGCAACTTGACTTTAACTTAGTACCATAAAAACATACTCCCTTCCTCCAAATTTCCAATTTGACCTCTACACACATATATGTGTGTGTGTGAAGATAGAATTTTGTGTTTGTATTTTCAAGTATACCCTTATTTATATCAAAGCAAGCAAAAAGGGTATAGAATTAAGGTTAATTGTGATTTTTTTGTTAAAAGCGATTTATTAATTAAAATGAGAATTTCTTTTTGGGACATTCATAAATGAAAGGTGAGAACTTGTTTTCGGGTCGTGTAGTATTTGAGTCCATTTCATAACACTAAAATTGATTGAATATATATATATTAATATTAATAATTTCATATTATTCTAGCTAGTTGAATCTAGTAAGATATAAAAATTTTGTATCTAATTTATACTTTTACTTATTAAATAAAGGAAATATTATATGCGCACAGCTAAAACAATTCTCTTATCACAGAATCTTGAAAGTAATTATTGTCTCACTTATTTTCATCAGTGTACTATTTAACGTGTGGAATTAAATTAAAGTTCAGTACCATATATGTTGTATAAGAATGATCGTTAAAGCTGATAAGTTAATCTTTTAACATTGTGGAAAAATGCTATGGATCAATTATTTGAACGTTTCATTGGTTTTTTAAGAACGTTCCATTTGTTAAACTAGTACATCTATGAAATGTTCACTACAATATATCATTGAAAAGTGTTATATTAGAGAAAATGTAACACTTTTTTACCATTACATTTGCTCATGTTGCATTAGATCTATTGTAACACTACTTTATAGTCTCTAGTGTACTACGTAACATTTACACCTCTAGAAAGTGTTACATTAGGTCTAAAAAGTGTTACATTAGAGTAATATGTAACACTTTTATAAATATGTAACATCTTTAATATTACGTTAGGTCTAAAATTGTAGTAGTGGTTTTTATCTCTCCTTTCAATTTCCCAATATCACATTAGTTGAAGATAAAAAGGGTCACTACTCGTCTAATAATAGTTGGACATAATAGTTGGATGATTAAAATTTAAAAACTTTGAAATCAATATCAAAAGTAACTTTACACAAATTAAAAACAGGTGATTAAATTTAAAATTATTACCAAATTAATACTAAGTGTTATTGTTACAAAATTAATAAAAATAGTCGGGGAAAAATTACTAACTCCGTCTTACTCAATTTTGCAAATTTGATGTTGGATGTGGGAATTCCATGAATAGTAAATAAAAATGTAAAATTGAGATTTGCGCAAATGAGAAAGAAATAAATAGGGTCACAAATTCATTACTTTAAAATAAAAGTGACAAATTGTATTAAACAGACAAAATAATAAAATTGACAAAATCGAGTGAAACTGAGGAAGTATTACTTCCGTAATATTCATATCTTCCCACTTTCCCCTTTTAGTGGTAACATTCATATCTTCCCATCATACCTTCAATGATTCATATCCCCTTTCACTATTCTTAATCTAACTACTTTTGAAATGAGAACATATTTACGTTACGGAGGTGGTATAAATTTACTATTTGATCAAATATGTTGCATCTTCTTTGTTCGAAAGGTTGACTCCCCAACCTCAAGGATCCCCACGCCCCCTACAGAGCATATGGAATGTTGTAAATCACAATGATTAATAACGGTGATAAACCTTATTGTCGTGTGCACCATATATAGGCGCGGTCCAACATAAAGAAGATGTGACCTCAACACGGTCATTTCGGATTTCAATTATTTATCATTTGTCCAACTTTCTCACCGTTTACCAGTTGAGCTTCCCGTGGTGATATGTTGCCCCTTCTAAGGTCGGGGTGGGTGTGAGGATGGGGTTGAATTGGTTTGGTTGTTGTACTATATATAAATGTGTGTATTATACAGTACTTTGTGCCCTCACAAACACTGACATTCTTACACTACCACGCACCACCACACAGTACACAAAACACTGCCCTCAATTCTCTCCCCACACGGGACATGGATGTTGTCAATTTCATGAAATCATCATCGGACAACCAAATGGAGATAATGACCCTTTTGACCATGCGCCGTCCAGACCAAAGAACGCCCAATCCTTACACCACCTGCCTCTCCTTCTCCGCCGCCGCCGGCGGATGCCATCAAGAACTCTTTCCTGCAGATCCGGCCAAGGAGGAGGAGGAGGCGGCTCTGTTTCCCCACCACAGCGCGGCGAACTCCATGGACGCCATGAGGGAGATGATCTTCGGGATAGCGATGATGCAGCCGATCCACATCGACCCGGAGTCGGTGAGGCCGCCGAAGAGGAAGAACGTGAAGATATCGAAAGATCCGCAGAGCGTGGCGGCGAGGCAGAGGAGGGAGAGGATCAGCGAGAAGATCAGGATCCTGCAGAGGCTGGTTCCCGGCGGGACTAAAATGGACACCGCTTCTATGCTGGATGAGGCTGTGCATTATGTTAAGTTCTTAAAAAAACAGCTGGAGTATTTGGAGCAGGCGGCGACGGCGGCGAATCCGGCCATGGTTTCCGGCTTCCCGCCTCTGCATATGAATATGAGTTATTCCGGCTCCGCCGTCAAATCATCCCCGGGGTTTCCGTCGATGGGGTGTAATTTACAAATGATGAGTTAATTAGCACATACGCCGTATATTGACACGAGATCGGAGCGCTCGCCGGCAAACCGGTAGTGCTCGCCCTGGTTTTTGTAAAGCTTTTCCTGGCTAGATTCTAGCTAGGCCTACATGTTTTATTTCTTCATTTGTCCTTTTCGGTTAACTAATTTGTTTTTGCCGGTTTCATTAATTAATAATTCTACATGCTTTATTTCTTAATTTGTAGTTTCAACTTTTGCACCAGATTTGAATAGACAGGTCATACTTCCTACTACCTCCGTCCCATTTTATATGTCTTAATTGGATTTGGCACAATTATTAATGAAGTGGTTGAAAAAGTAAAAGTTATGGTTGAGCTTTGAGTAGAATAAAGTGAAATAGTGTAGATCACATATTTTTTTCCAAAAAGGGAAAGAAGACACTTATTTTGGGACAACTCAAAAAGGAAAGTAGGACAGGTAAAATGGGACGGAGGGAGTATCATTCTATCTATTAAAATGATACTCCCTATGTTACGTATTATGTCCATTTTGAATATGATGAGAAATTATAAACTTGAGCACAATTAGTGGCGGAATCAGAAAAAAAATAAAGGAGTGACTAGAAGTATTATAAAATGCTAAAATATAAATTGTCTACAAAATTATAAACCTCAAGGTAAACCTATTTTAGGTATTAAAAATTCGTTGGTGGTATTGTACAACTAAGTTGACATGTACTAAATGATTAATTCCTTGTACCTGATTCCAGCCTAATACACCTACAGTAACGAACGTCGTCTGCCCCGTTAGTATTACCTTTTTTAACCTGGTATAACCTCCGGCTTTCACATTTGGAGCAAGTTCGGCCGCACGCATCGCCTTCAGGGCACCACCTCCTTCGCATCCTCTGATATAAGTCATTATTTCTGTTTTCATGGATTATTAATTTAAGAAGGAAATTTAATTTGATACGAAACAACAAAGGCGCTCTCTCCAACTCTGCTTTTCATGGATTATTTCTGCTTTTACATATACATTTATTTGCTCAAATGCACTTACGGACATTCATAAATTGATGGGGTTATAATAGCACAGAGTTTATATTAAAGAGTATATTTAGCTGAAATGAGTTTAGGGAGGATTGCATTTTAATTTGTTTGTCAATTTGAATAAAAACTAAGCCCGCTAATTAATTGTTTATTTGCCTAACAGAGAGTACTTCCACAGTTTTACATTTCAATTAAATATTACTCTAAACTATATCCACCTAAGTATATCCATATATGCTCTTTAATATAAACAAGTTTACCTGTTTCACATTTGAGGGAGATATATCCACAGGGCAAATGTCCTATTTAAGTGTTTAATAGTTCTGACTTTTAGAGTGTTTAAATCCTTAAAGTATTTGAATTTCAGAATAACTAAAACTACTAATAACATCAATTCAATAGAGCTACATGTAAAAATTTCTAAGAACATGGCAAATTTCAGCAAAATCAAAACTATTAATACTTGAAACAAGTGCAACATTGAATATCTAAGAACCTCAATATTGGTCATGATTCAAAAGTGATGATTTTTGTATGGTAACATGGATATCAATATATGCACAATTTCAATAGGTTAGTGAAGTTCAGATCATTTTTTTGGAAGAAGGTGGCTTATATTAATAAGAGAGAATGCAAGCAGGTTACAAACCGACAAAGAACCTCCTGTCTACCGTCTGTTCTTGAACCAGACTTAGAATCTGCCACCTCTAAAGAAGCAACCAGATTCGTTGATCCTGAATTGGGCATACTTGAGCCAATGACAGGTAAACGAGATCCTCCATCACTTGTCTTATGTTCTAGAGTCTTGACAAAAACAAAAACAAAAGCAAACAGAAACAGACTCTGTCCGAGTGAAAAAACAACTGAAACCAAAATAAGTCTAAAGTCATAAATAACTTTGATCTGCCAAAAGCACTTGATCTTCATGGGTGGAGGCGGGTTTGGGTGGTCCAGCCCGCCTCTCCCCTATTTTTTGATTCGTCTAACACCATGTCGTCCGCCCCTGACTGCTCCTGCTCCTGCTCTTGACTGTCTCAGGTCCTCCTTCGCCTTTGTTCCCTCATGTCGTTGCTAAGAGCCCCAACTTCTTCAAGTGCTGCCGGCTCTCCATTATCCTGGAGCTTGCTCTGTTTGTGACTCTGGCCCTGGATCTGCACCTCTTTAGGAACACTTTGCCTACCAGCTTGGTCTCTCCCCACCCCCCTTCACTTTACCAACCACTGATTACCATTGGATATGCGGGATCTCCCCCTCCCGCCCGTAGCCACGGTCCAAACGATTTCACACATGCCTTGTCCCCAATTTCGTACGGAAGGGGGCAGAACTTTTTGGCGTGTCCCATTATACCACATGCAAAACAAACGTTGGGTAGCTTCTCATACCTAAAGTCTACCCAATAACCCTCCCCCTTACTCTTTTTCAGGGTTAATCCCACCTTTAGGGGTTTTTTCACATCCAACAAGACACGCACCCTCATGTAGGCTTCTCGTTTTTCAGCAAATTGGTTGTCATCCCAAGAGACAAATTTACCCAAATTATTCCCAATCTTACGGGCATAAGCGAGAGGACCTGAACCCAAAACTCAACAGTATCAAGAGGTACCTTCAGAGGCATATCTCCTAGTTTTATAGCTTTTAACGCTATCAGGTTCTGATCAAACAACCAAGGTCTGTCATTTAGCACACGATTCATGTCTATGATATGATAAAAGGTGAACAGATACCTTTTTCCCCGATGTTTCTTAAAAAAAATGTATTTCAAAAATCGAGTAGGTTGGGAAGTGATTTGAACACCAAAAAAGGTGATTTGAAACAAATAAAAAATGATTCTAAAACTTCAATATATCTAGCATTCAGGGTATGACAATAAATAGGAACTAACAACGGCAAGAGAGACACTATTTTTGTGATAACAGCCATAACCCGTGTTAAATAAATATATATTATTATATTATGTTTTAACAATTTATAATAGTGATAGAATCTTTGGTATTGATTATAATTACATAACATAAAATACTTATGCATTCAATAAGGACAAATATCAAGCTTCTAATCTTCCAATAAATTGAATGATCAATAAATTCTTTTACATTTGCCAATTCTAGTACATTGACATAATAAAATAATCATCCACAAAAACAAAATCAAATCTCAATACATAATTCTAAAACATATGCATTGTTAACAGTATGAAAAGGTGAATACTAAATAAAGTAATAATGATTATGATGGCATTGCTGCAGTTTCTCTGCTTCAAATACCTACAAAAGAAATGCAAAATTTAAATTTGTTAATAGAAAGATAAATACTTGTAAGAGGACTAAAATGTTTCTTAAAAAATGTATTTCAAAAATCCAGTAGGTTGGGAAGTGACTTGAACACCAAAAAAGGTGATTTGAAACAAATAAAAAATGATTCTAAAACCTTAATATATCTAGCATTCAGGGTATGACAATAAATAGGAACTAACAACGGCAAGAGAGAAACCGTAAAATTAAAGTTACTCGCTAAAATATAAATACTTATTACTCAAGGATTTAAAATAAAAATAGAATTAGTTATTGATTTTTAACTCACAAGTAGATCACGATGCATAACTTATAACATATGAGCACAAACCGCTCTATCTGCAATAGGAGCAAAAGAGAAGGAGGGTCAGAGCATGACTGCATGCATGAGCCAAGCAAAAGTGCTGAACAGAGAAAATGTAGCTAGTATGATAACAGATGAAGAAACCACCAAGAGTAAAGGACAGAAAAAATGCTAGTCATGATAGGGGAGACTCTTGATGCACGAAATAATATCGTCCATAGGCCCAAAAGTAGGCAGGACCGGCCTTGCACAAAATTTGAGGGCCAGGAGAAGGGTAATACCAATCATGGATTCATATTAAGAATCTGGCAAGTCTGAATAAGTAGCTTTTGTTTACAAATTTAGATCAAATGGGTTTTACCAAATGTTTTGCGTTTCATAAAATTAGGCAGATTCAGTCTTTCCAGCTGAAATAAACTCAACCAAATGTGCTCTAATCTCACCATGAATTCTACAAAGAACTCACATATCTGACCAGCACTAAGAGTAGTCATAGAAACATAAGTGCCCATTTGAAATACGACCCAGCTTTTTTCCTCAGAGCATGTTATGAAAACATCACATTGTGCTCCCTTTTCCACAAGCTTAGTGGTACCTAACAAATATATGGAACAAGAGGAAAAGTAGTCAGTTGGTTCCATGAAGGATTAGACTGTTTGGGATCTGGAAGCAGCAAACTGTCCATACAAAATCCTCTTAGTATGCAACAATATGCAGTAGCATCGTGTTATTAAAATCTAATAAAAACACCTGGCTCGCCACCTGCCACTACCTGTCAAACAATAGTACTATATTCATGATTATGAATTAGTGTAATCGGAAAAAGAATAAATGTCATCCAAACCAGGTCATATACGTTGTTATTATACGAACCTGTCAAAGCAGTGAAGGATATCAGATTCGTCCTCAATTCATAGTACATTATTAATATAAGTGTTGTTTCAAGTCACCCAACCTAACCTGCATAAGTATAATGAATAAACACTTCTATGTCGTTGCTAACGGAAAAATAAGTAAATGAATTCCTTGTATGTATATGCAAGTCATGTAAGGAGCCAATCCTCCCGCTAGAACTTGTGAACATTTGATTCAAACAAACCTGCATAAGTGAATTAACAGTCAACAAAAAATCTGATCTCAATAATAACAAATATTTTTAAGAAGAATAGAAACAAGATTGCAAACCTAGCAAAATGTGAAAGTAGTAATGACAACTTATATTATCTTTCTCATATACAAGATTAATAATGAAGTTATTCACCATGGGTTCAACTAGTGTAAAAAAAAGTAACACAAAGAACATCTCAGGAATGTAATGATCACATTCCATTTGACTTTCAAGTGGAAGATAAGAACATTTTTTCATATTTTTCTCTTTTCATTATAATAAGTTTTTTATTCTAAAATCTTTATAAATTATTTACTCAGTATTTACTAAGACTCATCGGTCCATTGTGATATCTTCACTCCAAATACATTTTTCTTTCTTTCGGTTCATAGATTTTTAAGAAAACATCGATGGAAGATATATAAAATGATTTCGGGACACATACCCATAAAAAGACTCTACTTTCTCAAGTGATATCATTTTTAAGCTCTGAAAGACCTACTTTTGCCATATTAAGTTTCCTTATA